TAACAAACCCGTAAATTCTCCCACAGCGAGAGGCGGTGTGGCCAAGTGGGTCCGTGCACGGACTCAGGAGCAGGCCGTGTGGTTTGAGTCCTCACTCTGCCCAAGCCATTTGGCCTCAGGAAAGGCGCTTAGCCTCTCTGTGCCTCAGTTTTGTCCTCTGTAAAATGGGGACGATGGTCTTTCTGATCTCATAAAGCTCCTGTGAGGACTAATGGAGCTTATGTAGACCATCTGCAAAAGAGTCCGGCAAGCAGTGAGGGCCCTTCATTAATGCTGTCATCGTCGTGGGCCTCATTATTTTTGTTTTGACCACGTGGACTGTGAGACACACGGGAGTCCCTAGGGAGTGGGGGCGATCCAGGGGCAGCTCAGGCAGGGGTAGATATTTGGGGAACAAGGACAAGTATCTATCAGATATACACCATGGAGTAAGGTTGGTGTAATTTGGCTCAAAATGTAATGCATTTGTCCATTATGGCTTGGACTTGGTGATGTGGTGGGGACTTAATGATACACGGTAAGGGGGTGTCTCAAGGTCAACTCCTAGGTTTCTGGCTTCAGCATTGACTGGAGATGGAGCCACCTAGGTCAAGGGGAAGGTCAAGACTTCAGAGTGGGCTATGCTGAGGTCCAGATGTCAGGAAGGCAGGGCACCGGGCTTTCGGGTGACCACTGGGAGTGGGGCGGGTCCTGCAGCAGCGCGGATGTCCTGTCTTGCGAAGTCTGGTCAAAGGGGCTTGGGGAAGGAAGCGGCTGGAGGCTGGGGGCCTGCTCTGGCCAGAGTGTCCCCATGTGGCCTGCCGGTCCGGCACAGCTAGAGGATTAGAGTGGCTCAGCTCCTCCCGACATATCTGGAGTGGCCCAAATGCTGCATTGCAAACAGCTGGTGTTAAATATTTTGGAGATTTCACATAAACGTTGTGACCTCTGAGTTAAAAACAGCAGGAAAAGTTGGCGACCTTGGGCTCAAGCTCCAGGATGACACTGGCTGGGCCTGAGTGGCCACCACCCACGCGGCCAGCCCTGCATGTCCCCGCCCCCTGGTGTCCCCCCTGGCCTAGTCTCCCCAGAGGTTTAGAGTTTGCAACCTCACTCTCCCCTTGGGGAAAGATGTCACCATCTCAGTGAACCCGCACCAGGTCATCCAGACAAACCCCACAGGGTGTTCCTGGCTCTTCTGTCTCCCAAATTCCACTCCTAACCTTTCAGCAATTCCAAGGGACTCCTGGTCCAGATCCTGCCCCCCCTCTGACCACTTCTCCACCCAGAAACAGCAGGCCCCCTGCCCCAGCCTACAGAGTCATCTCCCAGCGGGCTCGTAGCCGCAGCCTGCAGCCCTGGCACCCGGTCCCCACTCCAGCCAGAGCCACCTTTCAGGGTCCAGGTCAGGTCACATCAGCCCCCACTCAAAACCTCTCACGGGCCGCTTCTTACCACAGCACTCCTCAACAGATCTCTGGCCCTGGTGACCGCCCCCTGCTACTGGTGTGACCTCAGTACCTTCCCTGCCCCCGTACCCATGTCCCCAGCCTCACTGGCCTCCTGTCAGGCACGTGCAACCTCGGGCCTGCACTGGGAGCTGCCTCCCCACAGATAGGCTGCTCGAGGCTTGCTTTCCAGCTTAATAAACATATAGCAGAGTGGAAAGGAAGGAACCACAGTCACAGCCACCGATGACAAAGACGTGTCACAGACACACAGTGTCGAGTTGAAAGATGTGAGTGGTGGACACCATGGAATTCCACGTCGGGGGTGAGGGGGGTGGGAGTGGGAGGTGCATGTATGAGGAAAGCTAGAGAATGCAGGACAGCCATTACCTTGACGGGGTGCCCCGCGGGGGCTCCGAGCACTAGTAAGGCCCTATTTCGTAAGTACATGGTGTTTGATTATAATTTTTCAATTTGATTACAGCGTCCTCGAGGATAACTGACAGCACATATTTAAGTGTATAATTTAATAGGTTTTTCACATATGTACACACCTGTGAAACCCTCTCCATAATCATGTTAAACATACCCGTCACCCCAAAGATACTCCGTGGCATCTCTGAAATCCCTTCTTCCCTCCCCTCTCCTCCCAGACTCTATCTGCTTGCTGTCGCTATAGATTAGTTTCCATTTCTAGCATTTTATGTAAATATATGAATTTTATATCCATTGTATTCCATTGTAGAGATACACCAAAATTTGTTGATCTCCCCATCTGCTGGTTGACATCTGGGGTGTTTCCAGTTTAGGGCAATTGCAAATAAAGCTGTGATGGACATTCACACCCCACGTCCTTGTATGGCATATTCCCCCATTTATTTCGGTAAATACTTAGAAGTGGCATGGGGGTATGATGGGCACACGTGTAAGCTTTGAAGAAGCTGCCGCACCTCCCCAGGGTGATTGTGCCATTTTACATTCCCACAAGTGGCCCACATCTCATCAGCACATTGTTGCTTTGATTTTTGCCATTCTCCTCGGTGTGTGGTGGCATTTTGTTGTAGTTTTGATTTTGCATTTTCCTAATGCCCTTGATCATCTTTTCATGTGTTTATTTGCCATCCATATATCCTCTTTGGTGAAGCATCTGTTTAAACCTTTTGCCTATTATAAAATTGGATTCTCTTTTTTATTGCTGGGCTGTGTTTATAAATTTCTAGCTAGAAGTCCTTTGTCAGATATAGATTTTTCAAATATTTTTTCCAAGTGTGTGGCCTGCCTTTCTGTTTCCGTAACAGTCTTTTGGAAAGAAAAAGTTTGCTTTTAGGAAGCCCAGTATATCATTTTTTTCTTTTGTAGTTCATATTCCTGTGTCCTAATTAAGAAATCTTTGCCAAACCCAAAGTTGCTGAGGTTTTTCCCTGTTTTCTTCTAAAAGTTTTAAAGTTTTAGCTCTTATGTTTCGGTCAATGACACATTTAAAGCTAATATTTGTATGTGGTGTGAGTTAGAGTTGAGTTCTTGCCCTTCCTCCCCTCCCATCCCTCCTTCCCTCTTTCTTTCTTTTTTCTTTTATGTGGCTATCCAGTTGTTCCAGCATCATTTGTAGAAAGATTATCCTCTCCTCATTTATTTGATTTGACATCTTGGTTGAAAATCAATTAACCATATATGCATGGCTTTCTTTCTGAACTCTTGATTCTATTAAAGCAAAAAATGTAGTTCAATTTTGCCCTTTTTTTTCAAAGTTGATTTGGCTGATCAAGGTCCTTTGCATTTTTTAATAAACTTTCAGACCTGCTTGTCAATTTATACCAAAAATATCTGCTGGCTTTCAACTGGAATCACACTGACTCTATAGATTAGTTTGTTGAGAACTGACATCTGGATAATATTGAGTCTTCCAATCCATGGGTATATTATCTCTCTCCATTTCTTTATATTTTTTTAAATTCTTGTCAGAAATGTTTTGTAGCTTTCAGTTTATAGTTATTCTTTAGTTGAATTTATGCCTAGGTATCACATTGTTTCCATGTTGTTGTTAACTGGTATTGTGTTAAAACATTCAGTTTCTGGTTGTTAACAGTATATAGAAAGGTAATAGATTTTTGCAGATTGACCTTGTATCCTGCAACCTTGCTAAGCTCATTTATTAGTTCTAGTAACATTTTTGTAGATTTCTTGGGATTTTCTACAGTTATGTCATCTGCAAATTAAGGACAGTTCCTGTCTTCCTTCCTAGTCTCTATGCCTTTTATTTATTCTTTTCCTGCCTTATTTTACTGACGGGGACCAATGTTGAATAGAAGTGGTAAAAGTAGCTATCCTGGCCTCATTCCTAATCTCAACAGGAAAGCATTCAGTTTTTCATCATTGAGTATGATGTCACCTCTAGGTTTTTCACAGATGCCCTTTATCAGGTGAGGAAATTCACTGGTATTCCTAATTTGTTGAATGTTGTTTATCAGGAATTTTGTCAAATGCACTTTCTGTATCTACTGAGATGAGCATATGTTTTTCGTCTACAGTTTGTTAATTTTGATTTTTTTAGTGTTAAACCAACTTTGCATTCCTGGGATAAACTCTACTTGGTTGTAATATATTGCCTTTTTTAACATATTAGTGGCTTCAATTTTCTAAATATTTATTAAGAATTTTCACATCTATGTTCATAAGAGATATTGGTTTATAGTTTTCTTTTCTCATAATATCTTTTTCTGTTTTAAAATCAGGGAAACACTGGCTTCATAGAATGACTTGGGAAGTGTTATATTTTTCAATTTTTTGGAAGATTTTGTGTAGAATTGGTATTATTTCTCGCTTAGATGTTTGGCAGAATTACCAGGTAAGTCATCTGCGCTTGGAGTTTCCCCTGTGGGAAGGTTTAAGCCATAACTTCAATTTTAAAAATAGAGACAAGACTAATAATGTTATCTATCTGTTCTTGAGTTCACTTTGGCAGTTTGGAAGGATCTCAAGAAATTCGTTAATTTCATCTAAGTTGTCAGCTTTATTGGTAAAATATTACCCACAGTATTCTCTTATGTTTTACTCTGTAGGACTTTGACAGATGCTTCCTCTTTCAATCCTGACATAGGCAATTTGTGTTTTTCCCCCTTTCTTTTCTGATCAGTATGTCTAGAGGTCTATAAATTTTATTGACCTTTGCAAAGAACCAATTGCAGGTTTCATTGATTTTCTTTATCATCTTCTGCTTCTCTGATTCCTGCCGCTTATTATGTCCTTGTTCTGCTTGCATTGGGTTTTGTCAGCTCTTTCTTTGTAGTTTCTTACTGCAGAAGCTGAGGTGTATGATTTGAGACTTTCTTTCTTTCTAATGTAATCACTTAATGATATAAACTTTCCTCTGAATCCTGTTGTAGCTTCATCTCACAGACTTTGATGTCATTCAAAGATTTTTTCATTCAGTTCAAAATATTTTCTCCTTCCCTTTGTGATTTCTTCTTTGGCCCATGGGTTATTTAGAAGTATGTTGTTTAGTTTGAAGGTGTTTTCTAGATGTCTCTCTGTTACTGATTTCTAATTTAATTCCACAATGAGCCAAGAACATACTTTGTATGATTGGAATCCTTTCAATTTTATTGCATGTGAAGTCAGGCCGGGGGCCCCTAGGAATCCATTGGTGGGGAAAGTGTGACCTTTACATGAGCCACGGAGAATTCTAAGCAGACGGAGGATTTTATTTGGACTGGATCTGACTAGCCTGTGTGCACTGGATGTGAGAGCAGGGGTTGGGATGCCTGGGATGGGGAGTGCCCAGCTTGAGGTTCCCCTGGGTCATCCAAGAAGAATGGGTAGTTGTCTGAGGGTCTGGATCTCCAGGGAAGGGTCCAGGGTACCTCTGAGACAGGGCTGCAGATATGAGGGCTTGAGGGGTACAGGGGAGGGTGAGGAGCCGGTCCTGGGAGTCATCCGAGGCTCTGCCCTGTGACCCTGAGCATGCAATGCCACCTCTCTGAGCTCTTGTCTCCTCACCTCTAAAACAGGTGGTTAGCTAAAATGACCCCATAGTTTTCACAGCCCAGGCTGCTGCTGGCACCGGGAGGGTCTTTGCATGGATTAGAAAAAGGTGGCCCCTTGAGATGGACAAACAACACAAGGTGCCCCTGCGGCAGAAGGCCTGGAGTGCAGGCTGATAGCACGCACTGCCCGGACATGCAGTGAGGCCTGAGGCGCGCTCCCCTCCCACTCCACTCCCACAGACGGGGTCCCCACCCAGACCACACTGCTTGCCAAGGGGACCAGGTGCAATCGCTGCATTCCTAAGTAGGGGGTTTAAGTTCCCTGCCACCCCTGGAACTGCTCACACAAGCATCACATCCTCCATGGGAACATCGCAGGGATCAGCACACTCCCTGATACCACAAAGCCTGCCTCCGACCCCTCCGGCGGCCCATCCTGACCCTGGTGCAGCCCCCTGTGCCTGCATGGCAGGGTGCCCTCCTCCCTGGGCCATGAGTCTCTGACTAATAAACAGCAGTCTATCTTGCCTGTCCAGTGTAGGGAGCCTCCCTCACCAGCAGGGCAGATAGGAGCTGATGAAAACCTCTTGTCAGAATGAGCACACCATTGGTGAGGGTAAGCGTCTGGGCCAGCGTGCCTCCTCGCTGGAGCCTTGGAGTGGGGCACACCTGGCAACTGCCAGCAGGTTCTATTTGTTGGACTATGGTGTTTAACCCTGTCACCTGCCCTGGGAGGTTGATTCCGCAATCTTTCCCAATTTACAGATAAGGGCTCTGTCAGGGTGGGAAGAGCTTGGGGCCCAGGCGTGTCTGGCCCCTGCCCTTTCTGTCCTGTGCCCTGCTCTGGAGGCTCGGAGGTGGGAAGCTGCAGTGCCAGGGGCTGTGAAGTGAGTCCAGCACGGCCAAGAGAAGGTGTGAACACGTGAGCCTGGCAGGGAAGGGAGAGGACGGGCCTGGCTGGTGAAGCGGCCTCAGGCAGCTGGTCTGGCCATGGCTCTGCCACAGGCTCATGTGCAGGGCTGGGGCGGGTGGAGTCTGGCCAGGGTGGGGAGTGAGAGGCGGGCAGTGAAGGGCCTTTGGCCTTGTTGTTGGCCACGCTGCCCACTCAGTCATGGTGGCCTGGCCCCGGGTGCCAAACCCTCCCACCCATGGGAGGCAATGCCCTGTAGGCTCTTTGACCAAAGGGGTTCCATGCAGGCAGGATTTCTAGAAATAGGTGTTTTCTTTAATGACCACCTTCTGCCGGTTGGCCTTGGCTGCTGCTGATCTCCTAAAATAATCAAAAGAGAGTACGATTTATGGTGAACCAGCCACATATTTGGTGCTTGGAGGGCAGAAGTGGGGTTCAGTCCTATGGGAGTATAATCTCTGGGATTAAGGTTTTATTTACTACTGTGTACTCAAAGCCGGAAACATAGTAGGTGTTAAGAGAGGGAGTAAATAAAGTCCAGCGTCCCTGCCTCTTGGCTGGGTGTCCCTTGGCAAGTCACACAACCCGTCTGCCTCTGCCTTTCCCTGACAGTGGAGCCGGAAGTAGCAGCACCTTGGTGGGGCGTCACTGTCTGGATTAAATAAAATGCTGTATTCAAACAAGACAGGCTCACTAGGCCCCACCTGTCATTATGCTGTCATGGTGACCTTGGGTCCTGCTCAGCTTTGGGCGTCCGCACGAACGTCCTCACCCAACACCGCGGCCACACTCCTGGGCTGTGGGGCAGGCCCTGTTCTTGGTGCTTGAAGACAATTACTCCCTCAAACCCGAAAGCAGCTCTTTGAGCCAGGCTGGGTTTTTTTTACACCGAATTTACAAATGAGGACGCAGACACGCAGAGGCAAGCCGGCTATAAAATAAAGTGCAGGCGTGCTCGCTCTTCTCTGCGCTCTCGGAGTGCACGCGGCTGCAGGTGATCTGTTCCCGGAGATCTCCGAGTGCTCACCAGTTCATCTGCCTGGGCCTGGAATTCTTTGTGGGAAGATTTAACTAGGACGCCTGAGGCTGTCTCTGTCTTCTTGTGTGAGTTTGGTTGGAGCGGTAACGTCCCCAGGCAGTGGGGATTCGGTCCCGGGCAGTCTCGCTGCAGAGCTGCACTCGTAACCATTATATTTTCCTGCCTAAAGTACAATTCCTTTCAACCTGTGAGACCTTGAATGAGTCACTGCCTCCCTATGAGCCCCTTGGAAATGAGGGCAGCAATAGGCTCCTCTGGGCTGCGTTGCTGTAGCTGTTAAATGGCTCCAGATACAAGCCCCCAGGTGCTGTGGGCACACAGAATCTAGCTGCTAGTGTCGTCATGGTGACAAGCCAGTCCCTGCCCCTCCACCCAGCATGTCCTCCTGACATGGCTGTCCTGTCCCAGGGCTGTGGGTGGGCGGCCGCCACCTCCGCAGCCCCACCCAGCCATGTCTTGGAAGGCTGGTCCCACTCCCAGGGGGTCACTCACTGGTTCTTCAGGTCCTCGATGGTGTCAGGGAGCGGAAGGCCTTGGGTCTCCGGGAGGAAGAGCAGGATAATGAGGCTGGCAACAATGGGGGCAGTGCCATACAAGATGGGGGGCAGCAGGGGCAGGGCCTGGCAGGTCATCCTGATCAGGGGACCTATAATAGCCCCCAGCCGCCCTGCCGACTGCAGGAAGCCATCTGTTGTCATCCTGCGGGTGGAGAGGGGGGCCCAGACCCTTGTCACAGTAGCTGTTTCAGACGGGGGGGCTTGACCAGAGGGGGGGGCTCTCTGACTGGGCCAGGGGGTTCTTTCCGGGGAAGCTGGTCTCAAGGAGTTGCCCTGCTCAGGCTCCCCTAACACCACCTCCTCCAGAGAGCCTGCCTAGATTTTCCCATCCACAGGAGCCTCTGCCTCCTGGGAACATCCAGGGTCCTTCATGAGAACTCTCTAGGGCCCACACACCATTCTCCCTGTTCTAGGTAATTTGGGGACTTTCCTCCTTCTAGACCACTGAGCTCCCAGCTCAGCTTTTGGTTTTCATATCAACAAAATCAATAATGTGTGTTAAAAAAAATGAATGTAAGAGTGGATAAATGAGTGAGGGAAGGAAAGAGCCCTGGGCTAGGATCCCGGGGAGCTGGGGCCCCTCCAACCCTCTCCGGAGCAGGTCCTTCACCAGCTGGAGCCGCCGGTCACCCGACTGAACAGTGTGGGGTGGTCTAACCAGATCACTGGTTTTCTGTCTATGTCCCAGGGAGCCCTTGGGTCCCAAGGAGGCTGTTCAAGGCTCTCGTGGGCAGCGAGCAGGAGACCCCTACTCTACCAGGGCAGCTCTCACCCTCTTCACAGGGTTCTTGCAGTTTTCCACCTGAAGAGAGGATTCTGTTCTCAAATCGGTTTCCAATCACAAGCAAGAGGCCCGTCGGGGCCTCCCACTCGGGCTGCCTCCTGACCCCAGTCGCTCGGGGAGCGCCGCCCCAGGGACTCTGGGGAAGGAGGCTGGGGCCGCCTGCTCACCCTCTGCTGTGTATTCCTGGATGCCCAGTTCCGCTGTCCGCCCTCCAGCCCTCCTGGGTTATCCCTTTCTCACCCACTCCCAGGGCCGGCAGCTGCTTCTGGGTGCAGCCCGCAGCCCAACCTACCGCAGGGAAGTCGGGAAGAGTTCAGGCTTGTAGATGATCATGCAGTTTAAGATGATGCCAAAACACCCCTTTCCCAGCACTGCGAAGACCACACGCAGGGTCTGCATGTCTGCGCAGAGGAAAGGGGGACAGTGGCATCTGCCTGAGAACCCCAGGCAGCCCGGGCAGAGGGCTGGGTTCCCCACAAGCTTCCTTGGGTTGAACTCAGGTCACCGGCAGTGCTGACTTGGTACCAGGCTGCCCAGGGCACAGGGCATTCTGGTAGGTGGGCAGGGAGGGGGATGTAGGGCCAGAGCCCAGCAGGGCTGGGATGGGTGACATGAGGCAGCTGAGGGTGACACTCGAGGCCTGTCCCTGCATAGTCACTGTGCCAAGGCTCCTTGGGTTCTGTGTGTGTGTCTTCCCGTGCCAGGCCCAGTCCACAGCAGGGACCCTGGAGGCCCCACCTGGCCAGAAGCCTTCTCGTCGTCCCTCAGCCTGCCTGTGGGGACCCCTGGCTCTCACAGGGAGCCAGTGAGCGATGGCAGGAGCCCAGGCCACAAAGCTGAGGTCCGGGTCACCCAGCAGCTGCGGGCTGGGCCCCACCTCCTGCCCCACATGTCCTTATGAAGGCTTATAAGCTGTCCGGTCCCTGTCTGACGTTCCTCTCCGAGTGCAGCGTCTCACCCTCTGTTTGGCCCCTGGCCTCACTCAGCCCCACCCGGCCGCCGGCTGTCCCTCTGCCTCCTTGTTGTCACTGCAGGATGCCTGTCGCTGCCTGTCCACCAGCCTTCTGCCTTGAGCCATGGAAGGAGACAGGAAGGGGGTTTCCAGGACATCATAGCCTCATTCAGAAAGAAAATCCAAAGACGAGGACCCAGAGCAGCCTCTGCCCCGAATGCCTCTTGCTTCTTTAACAGGCAAGAAGGAAGAACCACACACACCGGCTTTGTGCGTTTCCTGCCTCACATCGGACAACTTAAAGTTTCTCAGCCTTTTAGGCCCTTCCTCTGCGGGAGGTCCCAGCCTCAGGCTTTGCCTGGCCCACGCCCTGGCTATGTCACTTGCTGGCACCTGGCTTTACCTCTCTGAACCTCAGTAACTCAGGAAAACAGGCGAGCGGCTCGTTGGGAGATTGGATGCTGGTTGGGAAAGATGACACGAGGTAAAGGTGTGACAGTGATAGATGAGGATGGAGGCTGCACACAGGGGCTCCCCCAATCCTGGGGGCCAGGCAGGGGAAGGAACCCCAGGTGGTGAGTGTGGCAGGGGTGGGCAGGAAGCCAGTGCCCCAGGCCATCAGCAGCCCAGCCCACCATCCACGCTGCCCTGGCCTCACCCTGTGGGACCAGCACGTTGGCCAGGATGCAGAAACCAGCCAAGGTCTGGAAGCTGGCCAGAGTCATGCGGCGGCCGAAGAACCTGAACAAGAAGACAGTGGTGACCCTGGCCACGATGTCCACGGCTCCGAAGAGGACCTGGAGGAGGAAGATGTCACTCCCCAGGTTCTGCAGGTCAAGGACCAGCCCGTAGTAGGAGGTCATCAAGAAGAAGCTGCAGGGCAAAGCCAGAGTTGGGCCCTCGCCCCCCAGGGGAGAGGCGGCCCTGTGGCACTGCCACACACCTGGGCCGTCCCAGAGGGCGCAGCCAGCCCACAGCTTGCCACTGTCATGCCCTGAGAAGCCCGCTGAATGCAAGTCATGCCACCCCATGTCGGGCTGTTCCGGGAAAGGGGGAGTGGAGGGCAGCCTCATCCCTTCTGGGACGGCCCGTGGGTCTGGGCCGCAGGCCTTGGCCTCAGTAGGCTGGGCCTTGGCTCTCGGGCTCCCTGGCCAGCAACCAGCTGCAAGGCTTGACCCTCTCTGGGTGGATGGGTCTCTGTGGGTCAAGCCAAGCTGCCCCTTGGGTTCTGGCTCTAGTATTGTCGGGCCATGACATGTCCCTGCTCTGCTAGCTATGAACCAAGGCAAGTCTCTGCCCCGCAGGATGCCAGTTTCTTTGTGTGGAAGAATGGGATTAATAATAAATGAGTCTCTGTGAGGGCCACTGGGCCATGCTGGGCCTCCCTCAGGACCAAGACCATCTCCCCAGCCCCCCGGGAGCCCTGCCCCTTAGCGGGGCAGAGCATAACATGATACAGGTCGGAGGGCCCTCTCAGAAAGGCTGCCCGGCTCCTGAGCTTCCCACAGCCTGCTGGCTGTGACTGCATGCGCGCTGCCCCCCTGCTCCCTTCTCCCACAGCAGGCGACCCCAGGAGCCCTCTCCAAGGAACTGCCCGCTCACTGACCTCCATCTCAGAGTCCGCTCCCTGGGGGGACCCTTGGCAGCAGGCTCCAAGCAGCTGATCTTAGAGCGCCCAGCCCCCCTCCAGCACCACCCCCTTGCTGCCCCCATTGCACCTCGGACACCACCCGGCCAAGAGCTGGAAGCAAAGTGGCCACCCGGGCAGGGCACAGCGTTTCCCGGTGAAAGTGACCAGGGCGAACAGCTGGGCTCTCCCACAAAGGGGCTGGCAGGCCAGGGCCTAGGGCCTTAGCCGGTAACAGCTGGGTTAGCCGTCAAGACAAGAAGCCTCTCCCGGGGGAAGCCACTCTGCAGCCTGCGATCTGAATGGCAGAGGACGCACAGCCACCCCTGGGAGGCCTCAGGGGGCCTTGAAGTGTTTTGAAAGAACGGTCCTGGACATTTCTGGCACCAGACATTCCTTCTAATTTGTCTGAAAAACTTAAGCCAGAAAAAAAAGAAAAAAGCTTTTGATCCATTCACTGTTCTAAGATGTAGCAAATATTTACTGTTTTAACCTGTAAGTGGTTAAATACAGCATAACACGGAATCTTTTTTTGCTAATCTTTAATTTTTAATTCCAGATCAAGTCCCAGTCAAACCTGACCCTCACTTCCCATATGCTCTTCTGGAAGTCACTTGGCTGAATTTGTTTGGTTAAGGCACGTTTTCTCGGCCCTAGGGCCCCAGGGGTTTTGAGACAAGGCCTCCTGGGAGTCTGCGCTCAACGTGGGACCTGGTGGGGGCAGCCCGGCAAGGAGGTAGCTCGCCCTGTCAGCTTGGGCAAGCTACTTGCCCCTCTGGCGCCCACTTTCCCTAACTGTAAAGTGGGGGTGTGAATGAACTCCCCACCCAGAGTTGCTCTGAGGGGTCAGTGGATGGCCAGCACATGGTTGGCACGCCAGGAGTGTGGCTGCCAGTGAGCCCAGCAGCCCACTGATGGCCAGTGGTCCCCTCCAGCCAGTGACGGTCCCTCGGCTCTGGGACCCCAGCCCTGCCCTCCCGCTGGCGCCCTGCACAGCCAGCCTCCGGACCAGCTCTGCGCATCCTCCCTCTCCCCGCCAGCCGGGCTCCTGGGGCAGCAGCTGCCTGTCCCAGCCGGGAATGTGCCCCACAAGGCTGGCAGGGGCTCTTCTCCCCTTCGCTCAGGTCCCTGGGCGGGGTGATGGGATGGCGTACCTCACCAGGAACAGACTGCAGGCTCTCCAGCGGAGCTCGGGCACACGGAACAGGTTGAGCACCGACCTGTGGGCCTTTGCAGAGGCCATCTCCTCCTCCATGCTTGACATCAGCACCTCCAAAGGGACGGGGCACAGTGAGTACTGGGGTGTTGGTCCTGCCCCACCCCCGTGCCAGGGAATGGTGTCCAGGTGGGCAGGGAGGTGGGGGAACCTGGTCTTGGTTTTTGGAGACTGTTGAGTCCTAGGGTTGGGGGCAGGAATGGGGCAGAAAGCTCTCTCTCTGGCCCCCTGGCTGAGCTTTCTTCTGCAGACTTGGCCGATCTACTGCAAGCCAGGGAGCAGGCCTTGTATCCAGCTCTGGCCTCTGAGCCGCCGGCTGCAGGCTGCCCCTGGCGGTCACTACGCAAAGTCCCACCACCCACCTCCCTCCTCCGGGCTGGCCATCAGGGCGTGCCTTCTCCCACCGTGCTGCTCCTCCCGGCCCTCCCTGAGCCTCTTGCGGCCTCCTGCACCTCCGGGCCCTGCCTGGCCTGTGCTCAGCGCAGGCCTGGTTGCCTCTGGCCTACCCCCTCCTGGAAAGCCCTGGTCCTCCCACTCCCCACAGGTCCACACTGGCTGGATAGTCTCTGGTAGCATGTCCTCCCCCACCCACCTCCTTGAAATAATTCCCTTCGAATAAGCACTTCCTGTTTCCCCAAATGCACTGAGAAGCCCCAAGAGGTGAGTTTGCAATCTGTGTGGGTTGAAGTGGTCGATAATAAAGGAGGCGATGTGGGTGTGTTGTTGATTGTTGCATAGCTGCTGCTGGTGGTGGTTACAGTGGTGGTGATGAGAGTGATGGGGAAGGTGACAGTAATGCTGATGGAGACACTGGTGTTCGGAGAGATGCTGATGCTGATGGTGATGGAGGTGGGGGTGGGGCGGGTCATGGTGAGGTTGGTGATAATACCAATAAGGCAGCAGTGGACGTCTTCTCCCTACCATATCCTACCACACCCTGGGTTGCAGACAGTAGCATCTCACCTCCACGGTCAGTGTCTTTTCGGCTTCCCTGTGGCCATTTATCCTGGCCACCTTTTTGAGTTCCTGCAGTGCTTGGTCGGGTTTGCCCATAACCATCAGCCAGCAGGCAGATTCTGGCAGCCACCTGTCAAGGAAGCAGGTGCTTGGCCGGGCCTCCCAGGGCAGGTAGGGTGGGGGGAGGGGGGTGGGCAGCAGCCCCTCTCCCTCTGCATGGCTAATGCCAGGCTGGAAGGCCGCAGCCCCTGACTGGTTTGGAATAAAGATGTGTCCCAACACCTGGCCACCTTGTTGCCCGGGTGCCCTATCTGGCTTCTGGCTACCAGGATCCTGCCCCCCTGTGCCCCGTGTGTAGCCAGAACACAGGACGCCTGGGCCTGGGGAGACTCTGGGGCCATTTCTGTGACAGAAAGCTCACGTAATGCTGCATTAAAACAATAACGCATAAAAAAATAAATAAATAAAACAACAACACATTAAAAACATCCCAGGCAGAACCGACTGGTTTGGTACAAGCAGACTGCGGCTCCCCAGCCTCAGGGCGGGCACGTGGGGAGAAGCATCTCCTGGCGAAACAGGCAGAGCTCTCCACCATGGGCACAGCCCTGCCTGCAGGGAGGGGGCTAAGCACTGCCCGAGGCAGCTGGGCGGGACGGCTGGAGGAGCCTGGGTGCGCAGCTTGCTGCTCACGGTCACCCTGTGGCCAGTCACCACGACGATGAACCTCTCTGGGCCTCAGACCCTCGTCTGAAAACGGCGGTCATGACACATCCCTCCCATGAAGGCCAGGACACACCCGGTGTCACCAACGGCACCCGGGACACACCCGGTGTGGCCGGGCTGGCCTAGTGAGTGTGACTACGGGGTGCCTCCTCCTTGCTCACTGATCCTGTTGGTGCAATAAGATTCCATGTGGTCGGGGCCTTCGGTCTGCCGTGTTTGCCGAGCATTCCCAGAGCTAAAACCATGTCTGGCAAGGGGCAATAAATACATGAGCACGACAGAGTCTTTGTTATTCTCCACCACCCACAGCAGACTTACCTGGCGCAGGGCACAGGGCCCTGACGGCCCCACAGAAGAACTTATGAGGCCGTGAACTTGGGTTCGGTTCCCTGCATCTCTCCTCCAACTCCCCCTCGCCCCTCCGAAGCAGGTATTTCCAGACCTCAGGGATTCTTGCAGCACCAAAAGTAATGGTGAGAATGGTATCTTGTCATATCCCATGCCGGCCCTCTCTGACTCGGATGCCCACGGGTCAGGCCGGTGACGAGAGAGTGTGAGGCCGGTGGGGGTGAGGGAGCCCAGGCCCATGGGTTGGAAGGGGGGGCCTCAGCCGCAGGCCCAGAGGCCAGGGGGCTGCAGGGCAACCCACCCTGGAACTCTGAAGCCCCAGAAGTCTCGCCGCAGAGAGGACTCTGTGCACATCTTTGCCCACACGCCATGGTGCTCAGCATCCCCCAACATTACGGCCAGCCAGGGTGGTGGGGGCAAGGGGCACCCCTCTTCCTAAATCTCCCTCCCATTTAGTGATGTCCTCCCCAAGGGAAAAGGCCCCACACTGTACCCACCAGGATATCAAGAAGAAAGCAAAGAAGGGAGTCGACACAGCCAGCTGGAGGTCTCGCCAGTCCCTCAGGGCGAAGGCCAAGCCCCCTAGGGTCATCTGGCCGGCGCTGTAGGAGCACCCCAGTATTGTCATAGTGACAGCCCTCCAGCGGCTCACGGTCCACTCCACTGCTGCAAGGTGACACAGACAAATGCGGGTGGGGCCTCTCGCGCCACCCTCCCCATGGCAGGAGAGGCTGAGCAAGGGACGCACCAAGTATAGCTGAGGCCATGGTGATGCCAGCCATTCCCACAGCGCTCAGAAATCGGAGGCCACAGTAGACGAGGAAGTTGGGGGCAGAGACAGTGCTGGTGCCAGCCAGCGCCACCTGCAGGATGCACCAGGTCAGCATCAGCTTCCGCCCAAACCTGCTGGGACACAAATGCAGCGGGGGTCCTGAGGGGGCCCTGGGTACTTGGGCTCAGGGGCATGATTCCCCTGGAGGCCTCAGCAAGCTGGGGGCATGGGTGGCTGGAGCCCAGCATTGGGCCCACATCCCGTGTGGATGGCACCCCTTCCCTGGAAGCCCTGGGTACACACTACAGTGTGCTTGCTATAGAAATGGCAGATGCCTCACTCTCAGGAGCCACACAGCCTCATGCTCAAGAACGGGCTTTGGCATCGGATGCCTGGGTTTGAGTCCAGCTCTGAACTTCCTGGGTGACCTTAGGCATGTGACTCAATGTCTCTGAGCTGCAGTTTCCTCATCTGTAAAATGGGAGTATTCATGATGACAGAGTTGTTAGGTAATCAAGACACTGAGCGAGGGTGCAGTGTGGCTGGGAGGCTGTGTGCACACGGCCAACCAGCTCCTCACCTGCCCGTGAGCGGTGGCAGGAGCGCCCACCGGACGATGCACGCGGGGCCCTGTGTCCGCACATTCTCTGTGCTGCTTCCTGAGGCCAGCTTAGCCTGAATGACGGCCTGCATTTAGCTAAAGCCTGTGCTGGTCAGATGGGAGCCACGTGCGCAAACCTTGGCCCTGTCTGTCTGAGCAGTGACGAGGAACAAGTCACCGGGTCCAGACCTGCGGTGAGGGCTGGAAGCTGACCCCGGGCCCCAGGCTCACCAGGGGATCAGCAGACTGATCGTGATTTGGCTCCCCTCGTGCAGGGCCCCCTGGGGATGGCTGCAAGGCAGGGGGTCTTCTGGAAGTGCAAACAAGACCACCACCTCCCCACCACGCTCAGGATAACATGAGGCCCACAAATGACAATGGTAACATGGCCACAGCACGAACAGCCACCTCTGCGCCCAGCCCTGGCCCAAGCTCTGTATGCAATTAACTTCATCACAACCACCCCCTGGGGAGGTAACAGGGCTCCACTTACAGGAGGAAACTGAGGCACAGAGAAGTGACTAATTACCCTCTGGGACACAGGAGGCAAGGACAGAGTCCCGGTGGTGAGAGCCCAGGGCCTGCACAGCCTGGAGAAAGTTGCAGAGCCCTTCACCCACACACAGACTGATGATGGAGTGTGTGCCGTGGGCCGTGGGCAGGGGATGCGGCACTGAAGCCCCTGCCCTTTTGACACAGTCTCGTGAGGGCGCACACAGTAAGTGAGCTGGCAAACCCGGGAGGGAGCAGGTGCCGGCAGAGCCGGGCGGCCTGATGGGGAGCGTCAGGCGGGCCATGGGCTGGTGGTACCCAGGTTGGGGCAGGGCCTTCAGCTTGTGTCCAGAAAATTGGCCTGGAGCTGAGCCCTGTGAGCTGGGCACGAAGCAGCTGTAGGGGGTGAGACACAGCCGCTGGCCACCTTAGAGCACGGGGGCATGCAGTGTCCTAGGCGGGGCTGGCATGACATTGAGGGAGAAGCCAAGTCCCAGACTGGGGCAGGCAGGGACTGCCCCGGGTGTGGCAGGGTCTGAAAGACCTCAGGTTGGCATCGACTGGACCCACTGTTGTGCAGTCACTGAGTGCTGCAGTGGAGTGGCCTCCTGGTCGGAGTGGCGGGGTGGTGGCCAAGGGTAGGTGGGAGACCCGCTGGGAGCCTGGGGCCTGCCCCGTGGGAGGGCGTGGTGTCAGCGGGGGTGGGGGCAGTATGGAGAGGGAACACACGGGGAGGCTTCTCACAGTACAGCTTAGCCTGGCGTCGGGTCCCCCGGCCGTCACTGCCTCCTCGGGACCTGGACCCACGGAGCCCCCTCTTGTAAGTGACCTGGGCTTCCATGGGATGCTCTGGACCTCTGCCCCCCCGTGCTCATCCTGGTTGAAGGAGCTGGAGGGGTGGAGACACTCACCGGTGGGAGAGCAAGCCCCAGGCCATGGAGCCCACCAGGATCCCGGCCATGAAGATGGACTGGGCCAGGGCCTTCAGGCCTTGGTCGTCACACACCAGGTCCCACTGGAAGAGAAGGAGGCTGTGACATACTGGCTTAGAGGACAGGGCCTGGCGGGGCCAAGGTCATGGAGAGAGGTCCAGGTTAGGGGTGCCCAGCCAGGACCGGCTTGTCAGCCCGGGTCCTGAGGGTCCAGCCGCCCACAGTGGGGGCCCCAGATTCCTGCGGCCAGGCGACAGAGGAGGAGGGGGTGTGCTGGCGGTGTGGACCTCACACTCCTCCTGCAGCCAGCTGCCTGGCACATACGTGCCACAGTCACTCCAAGGGGTTGGTGGTGGCAGTGGTGGAAGGTGGTGAAACCACAAGGCTGGATCCCAAGTCTGCCACGGCTGCCTTGGGCGAGCACCCGCACCTGGCTAGGCCTGTCTTCTCGTCCAGAAACAGGGCCCTAGAGTTGCTTCTCTCATGGGGCAGGAGGATGAAATGAGGGCTGAGCACGAGTCCCTGCGATTCTTCAGTACCTCCTGCCCAGGACCGCGCACCCATCAGCCGAACCCCCAGGTCAGTCCTTCACGAGGACCGACAGCCTCCCCCAGGTCGCTCCGTTTCAGCCTGTCTGGCCTGGGCTGCCGCACCGGGAGCCCCCTGCTCCCATAAGGTGTTCTCCGCCTGCAAAGTGCCCTCTTGAATGCAAATCTGCACACATCATGTCCCTGCCCCAAAGCCTCCATTGCACTTAAAGAAAACCAGGCTCCTGAGCCCCTTTCCCCGCAGCTTGGCCCTGGCCCCCCACCCCCGTCCCCGTGCCTGGGTGCTCGGGGCCTCATCCTGCTTCTTTGACCCCCCAGCTGTGTTCCTGCTCGGACTTCTGCCCGGCTGGACTCTCTTCCTACCTTCATGTGACTGATTCCTCCTCTCATGATCCAAGTCTCATTTTAAAGGCGGCCTCCTCTGAGAGGGCCTCCGCACCTGCCTCTGCTCTCCTGTCCTTTGTGCCCCGCAGGACGGAAGGGGAATGGAGGCCCCGGCTCCGGCCCTGGCTGCCCAGGTCGAGTCAGGTTCTGGTGTGCCTTTCCTGTGTGTCCTGCAGCAAAGTATTTAATCTCACTGTGCTTCTGTTTTGTCACTTATTAAATGCAGACAATAATACCGACCTCATTGGACTGCTGCGAGGTGGTAAGTACACAGGAAAGGTCTGGGGCAGGGCCCGCCACTCCCAAGGCAGGAGGCGAGGGCTTCCACTGCTGCTAACAGTGCTTTAAATGTTGGTCGATTCAGAACCGAGCAGAGAACATGAGCTCCTTGAAGGCCCCCTGCTCATCCTGGAACCCTGGGACCCAGCACAGAATCTGGGCCGTCATAAGCAGTCAAGAAATGTGCATGGAGGGAGCAGCATATCATTTAATAGTGGGGATGGAGCAATGGGACCGTTCTGGTCATGGGTGGACAGCCACCTTGGGAGGCTGGGCAGGAGGAGGGCCGTGGGGCTGGGGGAGGCCCTTACCTGGGCCACGATGGTGGAGGTGAAGGTGCTGCGGTCGTACACCCAGCCATCCACGCATGGCTCCATGGCAGCCTCGCTCCAGTTGGTGGCTGTGGTGTTGGAGTCCAGGAGCTGCCACTGCGGTTGGCGGAAGCGGCGACATGGGTGGGGCCTGTGGCTGGGGCCCAGTGGGATGGAGACGGTCAGGAGGGCCTCGGGGGTGAGGTTTGCCGGGGCCTCGGAGCCATTGTCCAGCATGTGAGCCCAGCAGCGGTGGTCTGGGGTGGCGGCCACAAAGTTCTCCAAGAGCATCTGGGAGGGCATCAGGATGGACGGCAAGATGAGGGTGAGCGCCTGCAGCGCCTGGAAGAGGCCCGCGCCTCCGGCTTTCTCCAGGATCTCAGCGAACACCATGCCCAGAGCGGCTGCACGCAGGGCAGGTCTTCCAGGCGTCTCAGGCTGCTGGGAGCCGCGAACAAGCACAGGATCCCAGGCCCGGCCAGCCCAGGGCGAGGGTGGGGCAGTTGTCTAACAACCAGTCCCGGCAGGCCTGGGGTATCCCAGAAGCTTCAGAGAAGCTCCTCCTTGGCTGACCAGCCGCTCCTTAGAGGGCCGTCAGGGGACAAAGCTCATGGGTCCAGGCTGCCTGAGCGTCAGAGGCACCCTGGCTCCCCAGCACCAGGAGTGAGAGGTCAGGCAGAGGTAAAAAAATAAAAACTAAAATGTGATGTTACTGAATTACAGTTTCTAAGGAAATAGCAACTAGACTGTTGTTGCCTGGTTGCCTCAGTTAAAGTTTAATTCAATGCGGGCTCCTGGGTGAGCAAGTCAGGTTCAACTACTGAGAAGGGCCTCGCCACTTTCCCACTGGGTGGCTGATCCACTCCCACATCTTAACTTACAGACCCTCTACATGTGGCCCTTTGGGTCAGGAAACTGTTGGCCTAACCTTCACCCATGCTGGGTAATTTCAGTCCATTTTGCTGAAGCACAAAGGTGAGGACTGGGCTGGGCCCTCCCCAGCTGGGCTCTGCCACCTTGAGGCTGCCAGGAGGCTAGGGTGGGCATGGGGGCATGCAGGAGGCAGGAGGGCCTGGGCCTGTGCTCCTTCTGCCTTCCTGTGCTTCCTGCCAGGAGGCACGGAGAGACCAGCCTGCAGATGCACTACTCTGGGGAACTCCTATTTCAAGGTTCCAGGTTGCCTTTATTAGACTGTAGGCTCCCCCAGGGTCAAAACCGTGGCTACCAGTTACTAGCATCCTTAGAAGCCCCTCCTGGGGCTCCAGATGAGCAGGGGTGCAGTTTAAGGAAGTGTGCAAAGTCAAGCCTCCGTGCCCCAGTGTCTAATGACAGCCCAGCTCAGTGTGATGGGGCCGAAGCCAGCTCCTGCCCCAGCGCCCACCTGGGCTAGGCCTCAGTGACACAGCTTCTGGCACCGAAGGCTTCCTGTGTACTCCGCAGCGTACTGACCATGCTGCCTGTGCCCTCTCATTCACTCCTCATAACAGCCTGGGAGAGAGGCGGTGCTAATTCTTCCAGATAAGGAAACAGGCTCAGAGAGGGCAGGCAGCTTTCCCCAGGTCACCCAGCAGACTTGGATTCAAACCAGACACCAAAGCTTGAGGTCTCTCTGATGCCCCTGGCCAGCTGCCGTGTGGCCTCTAGCTTGGCATGGGCCAAATCCCAGCTAAAATCTGGATTCAGGATTTGGGTCAACATTAAGGCCATCCGGGGAGCCTGAAGTCACCTCCCAGGCTGTGAGGGGAATTGGCTGAGTCAGTTCCCCAGAGGGCTCTGAGGAATTCTGCAAGTGTGCATGAGATGTGGCTGAGTGTCTGGACCCTGAACTTCCCAGAACCTCCCAGGAGGCCTTGGGAAGCTCAGCCAAACAGCGCCCAGCCAGGAAGCCAGGGAGGAGGATTTAGGCCTGGATTTCAAACCCCAGCTGCCTCCTCTGGGCAGAAATTCATGAATTTTAAAATAGCGAATAGAGAGAGGTGGGGAGAGAACCAAGCACAGGAGGTGGAGGCCGTGAGAAAGGGGCTGACTGGACGTAGCCCCAGGCCAGAAAGGCTCAAGGCTGAATTTTACGAGGAAAGAATTGGGCTTCATGCCCACGTTTGTGGCAAAACCATCCTCATGAGGAAGGCCTAGACCCTCGACACCATGACTTGGAGCAGAGGCCTCCCTTCTTTGGCCTCTGGTTTCTGGCTGTGAAAGGAAGTGACCACAGGGGTGCAGGCTGAAAGCAGTTTCCTAGGGCCGCATGGCTGGTCTGGGCCCAGGAATTTGCATTTTAAAATATGCCCCCAGGTGATTCTGCTGCGCTGGGATCTGGCCTTGCTTGGAAAATTGCTGGACTAGAGGTGCTGCGGAAATCAAAGGCTTTTGCAAGAGAATTTTTCTTTATTTCCTTTTTCCATACGCTTAAAAAAATATTCTCTTCCTCCCTGCCCTTTGCCTGTCACGGAAGCCCATAGGCTTTGCTTACAGCAGAAGGTCAAACCTCCCTGGTTTGCCAGAAGGCTTCCGGAATCTCCAACTGACTTTGCGATTCCAGGCCAAGGAATTTTTAATTTGCTTCCTGGTTTTCTGGGGATGCTGGGGGGCAGAGTTCAGTGCAGCTGCTCCGCCACCTGGTGGTCACACCCAGGACTGCAACATTCCCAGCATCTCGCAGACCCTGGCCTGAGGTGCATGTTCCCCAAAGGTTCCCAGGTGGAGATGGAGAGCAGGGCCATTGGGGAGGGTGCTGGCAGCCTCAGATTATAGTTGCCAAGCCTCCACATGTCTCATTACATTAATTGGTGTAACGTGACCCCCTGGTTCTCAGAACCAGAATTGCCACCGGGCTGCCTTTACTAGCAGAGTGCCCTGTCAATTAAACGAGGAGCCCCCGAAAGACCTTAGTTCACTTCCCTTCTCTGACTCCAAAGTCCTTAGTTCTAAGTGGAGGCCTTCTGCTAAAGGCAGTAAAATTAAATGAGATAATGGACAGGCCTGACAATGAATATCAGTCATCACCACCACCACCACCACCACCACCGTCACCACCACCACGATCACCACCATCACCGTCACCACCACCACCACCACCACCACCGTCACCACCACCACGATCACCACCATCACCGTCACCATCACCACCACCACCGTCACCACCACCACGATCACCACCATCACCGTCACCACCACCACCACCACCGTCACCACCACCACGATCACCACCATCACCGTCACCATGACCATCACCACCACCACCGTCACCATTACTGTCACTGTCACCACCACCATCACCACCACCATCAGCATCACCATCAACACCACCATCACCATCACTGTCACCACCACCATCACCATCACCATCACCACCACCATCACCATCACTACCACCATCACCATCACCGTCACCATCACCATCACTGTCACCACCACCATCACTGTCACCACCACCATCACCACCACCATCAGCATCACCATCAACACCACCACCACCACTGTCACCGTCACCACCACCACCATCACCATCACCGTCACCGCCACATCACCGTCATCACCATCACCACTACCACCATCACCATCACCATCACCATCACCACCACCACCACTGTCACCGTCACCACCACCACACCATCACCACCACCACACCGTCACTGTCATCACCATCACCGTCATCACCATCACCACCACCACTGTCACCGTCACCACCACCACACCATCACCACAACCACACCGTCACTGTCATCACCATCACCGTTATCACCATCACCACCACCACCACCATTGTCACTGCCATTGCAACTGATCCCCTTCACTCTTTTTTTATCTTCCAGTTGAAGTCCCAGCATTTCAGACCCAGCTAGGCTCACTGGGCTCAGGCCCTCCCTACAACCCTGGAGAAACCTGGAGTTGGGAGAAGGTGAGGCTCTTTCCTAGATTAACACAGCAGTGAGGACAGGGCCTTGACTCCTATTTCATTGCTTTTTTAGTACACCCACGTGAAAAGGAACCGTGATCCTACAGAAGGTCCAAGAAACAGCAATCATAAGATTTTCAATCCACATTCAAGTCCAATATCCACATCTAGAGAACAGGCCTCAACACCTGGACAGATGGTACTGATGAATCACAATAGGAATAAAACCAGACCGTGTCTCCTCAGTCCCTTACTTCCTCCTGGAGGGCGTAACTTTGGGGCTTTCCCCCATAACCACAAGCCTAGGGCACTTATTTCCTCCCCTTGGAATTCCTCTTCAAGCTTAGACCTCCCAGGTCTCAGTTATAAGAATTCATCTCTGCGAACCCTCTTAAGTTCACCTAAGCACCTATTTAGGAGGAGGGAGAATGCAGGGAACCTCTTGACTCAGTCCTTTCTAACAGCGTGCATGCAGCTAAAGTCACAGACTCACCTAAAGAAGAAAGGAAAACCCTTCTCTGCCACCCTGGCCCCCAGAGAACCCACAGGAATGCTTCTTCTACATAGTCAGAAACACATCAATACAAATATAATTACTCGTCTACACTGAGCACTTGTATGTGTATACAGCACACAACCCAATGGTCCAGAAGTGTGTAAAAGTCCTTACCCCCACCATCCTCAACTGTCCAGACACAACTGTCACAGATGACATATATTCTTCCAGAAAAATCTTAGAGCATTGCCAAACATATGCATTCAGTTCAAAAATTGTTGAATGGACAATAAATTCACACAGTTCAAAAACAGAAAATGGAAAAAAAGGTGCTCAGTGGAAATCCCCTCTGTTGCATCCCACCCCTTCCACAGGGTCCCCACTGCCACCTCAGGCAACCATTTTCAGTTTCTTGTGCATCCTTTTGGACTTTCTTCCTAAAAATATAAGCAAGGGTAAATGTGAATTCCATTTTTCACTCCTTTTTATACAAAAGGCTCTTTTGCCCTTTGTTGCAAACAGTATGTCTTATGCATCTGAGAGCCTCCCCTCATTTTTTACAGTTGCATAGTATTCTGTTGTATGAATTTACCATGATTGAGTGAGGTTGAAAAACTTCTAATATATGTAAGATGGCATTTGTATCTCTTTTTCCATGAACTGTTTTTCCATGTCCTTTATTTATTTCTTGATAGTGGTTTGTGATTTCCTTACCAATTTTTCCAATCCCCTTATATATTAGGAGGTTGGCTCTTGGCTTGTGATAAAAGTTGCCAATATATTTTCCAGTTTGTCTTTTGACTTTGTTACCCTGCTATTGTTATTGATTTTTTTGCATGTAGATTTTTTGGGAGGTACTCGAATTTTCAATCGTCTTTTTTGACTTTCAGATTTTGTGTCCTGTTTCCGAAGGCCTCCATTCCACGGTGATAAAGGGACTCCTTTGTGATTGTTTTAATCAAGAATGGTAGCTGTTTGTCATATGCCTTTTCAACACTCATGGAGTATGATTTTTCTTAAATCTATGATCACGAGGAACTGTGTATTTATGAATTTCCTGAATTATATTAATAAACTTTCCAAAGAGTGCTGAACCATCCTTTCCTTCCAGGAGTGAATGCACGTGGACAAGCCACTGGATTCTGCCTGTTAATGTTTTACTTAAAGTCGCCATGAATCTGCACGTGTGAGATCAGGCTGGGTTTTCTGCTTTCTCATTCCTGTCACCCTCCTTCCCTTCCTTCCTACAATCTTTGCCAGGTTTTGATATCAATGTGATAGCCACTTGACTGAAACTAATTTGGCCGTATTTTCTTACACTGTGCCAGGGCTGCTCCTTCCTCTGTCCGCCGGGGCTGCTCCTGTGTAGCCCGCCGTGGGTCGGCCAGCCCGCTGGGCCCCGGCTGGGAACCGAGCTCTCCGGAGGCTCTGAGAGTGGGGAGGAGAGATGGCAGAGAAGGGTCTGGGCAGAGCCTGCCCCGTCCAGGGGCGGGAGTCCGGCCAGGCAGTCTCATGTCTGCGCCTTTTTTCCGCAAGTGGATCCAGGCTGCCGAGTGCTCGGGCCCTGGGCTTTGTCTCACTTCCCAGGGCACCCTGGTCACCATGGCCCACCTGAGCTTTGACCAGATGTAAGAACCATAATACAAGGGCACTCTGCTGGGCTCACACTGGGAACCCGAGGCTGGACTCCCCGCAGCTCCAGCTATGCGGTCCTGCCCTTCGGTTGTGTGGGGAAGGGGTCCACAGCCTTCTTTCCTAGTGCCTGTGGATGGACCTGTCATGAGTACCGAGGGCTCTCTGGCTTCAGGAGCTTGCGGGTCCACATGGAGCAAGTGCCAGGACCCTCGGGGCAGTATTCCGCCAGTGACTGGCCCAGGGTGCTCTGACCCACCCCCCAGTGATGGAGCCTCTAGGCAGCATCCTTCCCTGGTCCGCCCTCCCCCCTAGCACTTCCTGAGGTCACCTCCAAAGAGATGGTTTACCCTCATATATTTGGGGGGACCCAACCTAAGGCAGGGGATCCCAGCCCTCTTTGTGAGGCATGGAAGCTGGTTAGTAGCAGCTCCTGGAGTGGCTTGTGGGCACCAGGCTGATCCCTGGCATGGCCTCTGTCATGCTCTGGATGGCTGTGGAGGGGGCTGACCAAAGAGGCAATAAGCCTGAGAGGTTAGAGGATGTCCTCCAGTCCCCCATTTAATGCCCCAGGGCGGTGAGAACAAAGCCAGGCCATCCACCCAAGCCCCCTCTCAGCCGCACCCCGCCACACTCCCCTGCAGCATCGATGCTACTGGCTCCCCTTGGCATGTCTGTCAGTAAACTGAAGGGACCCAGGATGGAGTCTCAGAGAAGGAAGACCCCTGAAACGTGTCCTCCCCTCTCATCTGGCCAGAGAAAAGAAGCTCAGAGACACGAAAAACTAGCCCTGGGGTGGGGACCAGGGAGCAGGGGCCAGAGCCCAGGTGTCCCCAGCCTGCTCACCACACTGCCCGTGGCCACCAGCTCCTTCCTGCCTGGGCTGACCCATGGCCCGCTGCTAACAGACTGGCGCTTGCATTTGTTCCAGAGGGTTCTGCATCCCAGTCTCACTGCACACCATAAGCGGCTGAAGGTGGCCCCAAATGATACATCCACACCCTAATCTCCAGAGCCTGTGAGCGTGACCTTGTTTGGAAAGAGCCATTGCAGATGTGGTGAAGTTAAGGATCTGCTGATGAGAACATCTTGGATTATCCAGGTGGGTCCTAAATCCAATGACAAGGGTCCTTTATAAGAGACACAAGGAGAAAAGGAGGAGGTCACATAAGGACAGAGGCAGAGATCGGGTTACACTGCGACAGGACAAGAACCATGAGAAGCCAGCAGACACACAGGAAGACTGTCCTCCACAGCCTCTGTAGGGAGCACGGCTCCCAGTTGGTGGCACTTTGTCTCAACAGCCCTAGGAAATTGATACACACATTTACTTATTCCACTTAGCTCTTGTAATTGTTTTCCAGCAATTTCCTTCTACCTACCAAGACTTAGATTTGAAAGACTGAGAAAGAATTCATCATTACTTCAGCTCCACAAACACATATGAAATACCTACCAGGTGTCAGGCCTCATCTGGGCCTGGGGGAACCCCAGTGTGTCAGAAAGGAGGCACACCCTGCGGGGAGACAGACACACATGATCACCACAGCATAGTCTGGTCGTGCGATGTCAGCTGGCCCCCCACACAGCAGCATGGGGGCTCAGGGAAGGTCTGAGGAGGGCATAGTAAGGGAGGGTGAGGCGTGTTCTAGGAAGAACAGCATGTGCAAAGGTCCTGAGACTGGGGGAGGCAAGATGGGAGAAGGGGGTCAGGCCCCAGCAAAACGTGTAGGGTTGGGGGGCAAAAGCACAGGAGCAGGTGGGGGCCTCTCCGCCCAGAGCGCACAGCCCGGGCATGCCCCCAGCAGCAATGAGCAGGGTCTGGGGCAAGGGAGCAAAACAGTTATGTTTCCGGATGTGAAGGAACTTCTTAGCCACAGTGTGGTGGGGGACTTGGACAAGGCAGGGCCAGAAAGAGGAAAACCAGTGAGAGACTTTTGCCCGGCCCAGTACCAGGCCTGAGCTGAGGTTGGTGGGGAAGGTGTAGATTCAGTGAATGTTGAAGAGGTAAATTGACATGAACTATCACACAATGATGCCTCGGCCCCCGCAAAATCACTCCAGGTAAGTGTTATAATATACAAGTCCGTTGAAGATCTTGATACACACACAGTATGGCCAGAATTTTGAAGTGTCTTTTCATGAATGAGGCAGCGTTCTGACCTCCGACCCCTCAGAGCAAACCTGTCCAGGTCACATGCTGGATTAAGCTTTAAGCCTGATTAACTAGGCGTCAGCAGTCCTCACACGCACATCTGCCTTGAAGCCCTTGGTCTCCGTGGGGAGGCTTTTCCTGGTTGGCCTCAGGGATGGCTGCACCTGCACTGGCCCTGAGCCAGGGTCAGGGACTGCCCACAGAGGCACTGGGCTCTACAGCTGCCCTGGACCCGGAGCAAAGCACCAGGGCAGTGGCCACAATGCTGCTAAGCCATTTGCCCTGAAATAACCGAGGGCTCCCGGTCCTGGCCACACATGCTCCACACACAGGTCTCACTTAGTAGTCACGGCGAACTGACTCTGAACTCTGAAATCTGAGGGACACTTGACAGCTACAGGACCTCAGCTGACCCAGGACCCCCACTTCAGAACAGAGCCAGCCCCCAAAGTTCTGAAGAGGGGTCTCCCCACCCAAGCCCCCAAGCTGACAACCCCCACCGCCGACTTTCTCTCTGGGGTGGTGTGGAGCCCTGAGCCCAGGGACTTGTAGCCTGGCTGACCATCCGTGAGACTCAGGCCTGCTGTGGGCCTGGGGGTGGGCACAGCGCCTCCCCAAAATGCCGTGGGCCAGCTCTGCTTCTGGTGGGGTTCTCACATGTCCCCACATCACCCTCAGCATGGCGGCAAGGGCGTAGCAGGAATCTGCGGTTTCTCTCTTCCTTTGCTACTCAGAATGTGGTCCATGGACCAGCATTACCCCAGAGCTGGTAGAAATGCGGAATCTCAGGTCCCAGCCCAGACCGCCTGAGTCAGAATCTGCATTTACCAAGATCCCCAAGTAATTTGCATGTCCATTCAAATTCGAGAGGCACTGGCCTCGACCATTCTCCGCCACAGCCTACTGTTCCAGAGGGGGTCTCCCCGAGGGGCTTGGTTGTTGTTTACACCACTGCCTCCTCATCCAAATAGAAGCTCCTTATAAATGGAAACACAGCATCCTTAAATTCCCCAGCACCCAAGCCCTGCTTACACACCGGCTGCGTCTGTCCACTGTTTGCTGAGTGACAGAAGGAACCGCACGGTTAGCGAGCACACGCCTGCAGAGCGCTGCACCGGGCGTTTCCATGCTCTGCCCCATCAGGCAACAGTGCAAGGAGCCTGGATGGCTGTTGGGGGACAAGGTGCACTGCCCCGCCCACACTGAGCTGCGGGGACAGATGGGTGGGGCAGGTTCCCGTGGCTCCCCTTTCCTGTTCTCCCTGGCAGCAAGCAGAGCCCAAACTCTCCTCTTATTCGGCGTCACCCCAGCTACAGATGAAACCCACTTCTTCCCCAGCTAAGGAATCTGCCTTAAGGGACCTGCCCGGGGACCTCACCCTGGACACAGGAGGCCTCAGGGCCTGCTTCTCACTGGGCCCTGAGGCTTGCTGTCTGGTTTCCCGGGGCATGAAGGTGGGCGTGGGGTTCAAGATGGCTGAGAGAGATAAAAACTCTCAACAAAATGGGCATAGAGAGCAAGTACCTCAACATAATCAAGGCCATATATGATAAACCCACAGCTAACATCATGCTGAACAGCAAGAGGCTGAAAGCTTTTCCTCTGAGATCGGGAACAAGACAGGGATGCCCACTCTCTTCACTGTTATTCAACATAGTACTGGAGGTCCCAGACACAGCAATTAGACAAAACAAAGAAATACAAGGAATCCAGATCGGTAAAGAAGTCAAACTGTCACTATTTGCAGATGATATGATATTATACATAAAAAACCCTAAAGACTCCACTCCAAAACTACTAGAACTAATATCAGAATTCAGCAAAGTTGCAGGATACAAAATTAATACACAGAAATCTGTGGCTTTCCTATATACTAACAATGA